TTCCACTACTATCATGCAGGAAACTTAATTAGTTGATTCAATTACATGGTGCTGTTAATCAGTACCTAATGTTTTCAAAGCAACCAGTTGCCAGGCAACCATCAGAGAAAGACAACTAACTAACGTTACGCACTGATATTTTTGCGGTTTATGCCACCTTCTAAACGCAAAAATTATCTAGGAAAATGAATTAGAAAAAAATATTTAATAAAAAAACATTCTCCAAATGTTGGAGAACAAAGCACTGCTGTAACAGTACATGAACGATGCCGTTACAAGCACGCTATCATTCACGTAGCAACATTTTTGTATAGACAATAACGTTATAGCTATATTTAAAAACGTACGCTCATTCACATACAATGGTTCTATTAATGTCTCAATAAAACTGTATTGAGAATCTGGCTGGACAGTTGATATAGAGGCTTTTCACGATGTTGATGTACAATAGGCACCTAGATTCCTGCGGCCCATGACCTGGGAACTAAACAATAGCACATAAGATATGATCAAACATGGATGCAACCGCATCAACACATTTTCACGGACCGTTTCGTGGTCACATAGGAGATCTATACACGAAATCAGATTGTGTAGAGAAAAAAAATACTCGGGCTCGGCCCGGCAGTCATGAGTACTTACAAGTTGCTAGAATACACACTTCTTTTTCAATATAATTATTACAACATGAAATGAACCTACTCCAGCATGTATATTACAACATTAGATAATATAAAATATGTTATTGAGTCAAATCTTTATCCGTAATATGGTGTATCTATCGCGTATAGTACTGGAGAGCGTTAATATTCAACAGATACTCCCTTAATAACATATTGTTCAAAGAAACACGAGAGGGAACTTGGTATAGACGAATTTCCCGGGAGTCGAAGATACGGCGTTTCACATGCGCGCGCACGCCGTTTCGGGGTGTAACGCAAACTTGGACGCCGTGATATTGTGCTTCTGGCTGTACCAATCTACGTGCCAAAAATCAAATTCCCTTCTATCGACTATCAGCAATCTGACATGTCTGTATTTCCCGCCATAACAAAGCAGGAATAGTTTTGCACCCAGTCTCGCTACTTCCGGGAAAGTCGTCTATAGATTGAAACCTATGATATACAATTCCCACACATTGAGGGCGCCGGTATTTGTATGATGTAAATGTTGTTCACTTGCCGTGACGTGATTCAAACCGTTATGACGCAATATTATTCCAACTGATGCTCGTAGTTCGGTCCGCTAATGTATACTGACGTAATCAATAGTGAAACTTATCATTTTTGTTCTATTATTAGCTTCAGTCAACTGCTCAATAATTCAGCCTTTATTTTTTAACAAAAAATATTTACGAATTCTACTATTCGTAGGTTCTCGAACTACTTTGCAAAACACAATTCTAGGAGAATTCCATATAACACACCATGGTGGCCTTCTAACTTTTAACAGAACGCCATTTTAGAGCAAGTCAGTTACCTATCCAGTGACCTATCATTCACACGCCTCGTCTTTGTTCACGCCCTCATCGTTCAGTTTATCTATACTTTAAACTTTTTATAATCGCTTAATAATTTTGTAAACGCCGTACTGAAGCATAAGCAATTAATTGTAATATCTATTCGCAATGTAAACAATATTTATCCTAACACAGTATGACTTACGCATTATGTTTGCTGTGCGTTATACAACATGGACAGATATATTTAACAACCGACATTATTTCGATGAGATTTAATAAAGATTCCATCTAGTTCATTGTGCGCACAGTAGTTAGATTTTACAATACTTTTTACTAGATTTTGCGAATGAAATATATTTTTAAATATTCAGTGTATCTGAAAATCTAACAGCAAACTTATCTTTCAATCCATTGTAAAAAAATAAGGAATATTTTTGTCTAAACTTGTAAAATTATGACTAATTAAGATTCTAAGTTTCTGATCACTCAATAAAAGACGGTAGGTAATTGTCAAAGTTTACAGTTATTATTTGTGATTTAGTATGAAATCACTTATTGTGAATCGCCGTTGAATGTTATTTCTGGTAACTGCCAAAAGATTTTCCCAATTTCATCTGAATTGCACATAATTTAGCTACAGTGTAATTTTTTTTTCTTGTTTTTGACAACCCCCCCCCCACACTCACACGAAAATTTTGCTTTCACTGCCAACAGAGTAATTAGCTTTCGGTTCTTTGATTTTGTCATGCAATGACTCGTTGACTAAAAATGAACCAAGTTGTGCAAGTTTGTGTGTCTGTAAGAAGTCTGTCAAATAACAACACAATATACAATATTTATTTTGATCACCAAAACTGTGATCAAAAGTGCAAAATTGTTAGAACATTGTGTTTTTCTTATAATATAGTTTTTTGGAATGATTAATGTCGGATATTCTATACTATCAACACTGGCGAATCAGTTGCATTTACAGTTGCAGTATCCTCGTCGCCACCAATCATCGACATTTATGTTATTTATGTTGGTTACAGTTGCCCTTGTGTTTATGATAAAATGCACAGTTAGTTGGCAATGACCAATTAGTGTTATTTACAAATCAGTACTAGTCTTTACTAGAACGATCAGCACTTGGCTAGACCAGAAGTGATGTTGTTTGGGAAATGACAGTATACAATAGGGAGATACGTGGACAAATCAAATAACTACTGTAATAAAATCAATGTGAATAATATGTACATCAGTTTACCATAATCTGAAACGTATATTCCTCGGATACATTCTAGAAATTATACCATTAACTTGCAATATGCTTGTCTGCAAAATAATTATTGCAAATTAGGTAGAACCTTAGGGTAAGAACATTATCTCAGAGTATACATTGACAATTGTATCGGACCAACTATACACCAAGTTTTATTGAAAACTGTTGAGTGTCTATGGAAATATCATCTGAACAGTTGAAAATAGATAATTATTATGCAGATCGGGTCATTATTATGGTGTGGTTAGTTGTGGACATTATTTCAGAGCAACTAAGTACCAAGTTTCATTGCTATCCGTTTTGTATTTCTTGGTTTGGTGTGACAGCTGTAGATACCACCAATATACTTCTTTGATGACGCAGCTATGGAATTGAGAAAGTCATTGTATAACGCATTTAGAAACACTTGATTATCCGAGATTGCTGGGAGTGGAAATTGCGCTTTGTAACAAGTATTTTATCCTGTGTGTTTATTCCAAACTAATAATACTAACAATCAAATTAAAATAATGCCATAATAGAGGAAAGTTGCACGGCAAATATATAAACACAGCCGTTATTTGACAATGAGATGCATGGAATTTGTCGAGAGGCGGGACTTGAATTGCTCAACACTAGCCTCGACAATACCTCATATAATAGTGAGGCGCATGGTGCGACTGTATGACTGTAGATCACTGCAACGCTTCTGTTAGTGCGTCTTGTTCCATCCTTGATGATAATATATATTATTATGCCTCGTCAGAGCATATGCTTTGTCTACTGCATATCGAAAGAGCATATTTTTTGGGGGCCAATAGTAAAAAATCAGACTGTATGTTTGTGTCAGGGTAATCTCAATTATGTGTTTGTGAGTGATCTACAAGCGGTAAAATAAGTACCATTTTCAAACTTTACACTCGTGTTTGCTGTGCAACTCACAACACCTAGTTATATTTTTAGCTGAAGTTCAAAGAAATGAATGTGTATTTCTGCAATAAAACTACAATGAGTAAATGGTTATTGCCTTTAAACTTGACACAAATGCTTCCCATTTGTAAACTCATATTTTCTCTATAACCTGATTAGATTAGTCAGATGTCAATAATACAGGACACAACTGTGCAAACTTCAGGCCTAAATTGTGACATGAGATGGTTGATATTGAAGTAATCTGGCGTAGATTAACATTTTTCTCGTGTGTAGGTTTGTAAAATAAGATTAGGTGTCACACAATTGCGATAATATTGAAGATGTTCCCGTTTTATGCCATTTTAAAATCTAAAAATAATACATTAAATAAAATATGTACTGGTATCAGCTCTTGTAATGTGATCACCACAACACATAATGCTATGTTTTCCTGGTTCATAATATACATATACTTAAAATACTTACATAACTAAATCTATAACAAAACAAAACATAACAAAATAACTAAATCTATCAAGTAGACGATATTACATTTTAATGCCCATCACCATGTTTCCTTATTGTAATAAGCTTTCTAAAACGTGTCTTTACAACATACAGCTACTGCCCAAACTGGTTTGTCATCTGCTCCACTAACGGCCACACAATTGTCATTATCTGAAAATCAAACAATTAGTTTGTTAAAGAAGCAGTGCTAACCAACTAATTAGTTATGTAGAGTGGATGCAAGATACCAAGTGATGTAAGTGTACATCAAGTACTGATGGTTCGAGACCATATGCGCATGAAGTACAATTAAATAAATATATCTATCAATACTAATATACAGCGTTTCTGTTATGCTCAGCTCTCATGACGAGAGTATCGCATAATGATTACTCATGTGCTTGGCCACCCACCCGCGCAGACAAATATGTATTGTATAATTAAATACCATACGACGCACCATCAATGTAGGCTCCATGTGTAGGACGATTCGGGTTGCGGACAGAGCAACCGGTTATTATCCATCCATCATCACACCATATAATTGCTTCATCACCAGCTACAGAACCAGACTTGCCAGATTTAGTTTTACAAATTAAATTTGGAGCGGAACAACATGCAGTGGTAACCCAGAGACCTAGAAGAAACGCATGTGTTGTATATTTAAAACATTTGTCTAATCATATATTGGTTAAATGTGCTTATATTACTACAAAAGGGTGTTTATAAGAAAGGTGTATGTTTAATTAAACTGGAATTTACTTTACTGAACAAAAAATGTGCAGATGAATTTAGGCTTATCTTTTTGAAATAAAAAGTGAATACAATTACTACTAATAAATAAATAAATCGTGCTAGAATATAATGAATAATATTTCATCAAATCTTACCTTTATTCACAAGTTCATTATAACCAATACAACGATCTGGCATTATAGGCTTTGTCCCTGTTAGACCTTTCCAAGGTGATCTGACCGAACAACCTGGTAAAATAAGATAAGTCTATACTAATTAAAAAGAAGATGGTACAGTCACTGCAAAGAAAGTATGAATATATAATGCTTCAATTCCCCTTTTTATAAAAAAATATACAATATATTTATAAATACGATGCAACATTCAGTTATATTTATGTGATTTGGAATTACTATTTAAAGAATTATTAATTTGCTTAAATATTATATGCAAAAGCTTAATTTATTGAACATTAACAGGTTCTATATTTTATTATATATAGATACCTGTAATATAAGCAATGGTAGCTTCTTTGTTCTCACACAACTTCTTTGCATGTGTATGTTCTTAGGTATTCAACCACATATGTAATCACTAGAAAAATAATACTAATACCATAAATATACAATTATATTAATTTCAATTGTGCTGAAAAATAAACATACCTGTTGCGTAGGTATCCAAGCAATTGATTTTGTCTGGACAAAATGCTATGCTTCCGCCATCATCTGGGGACGAAGACCTGTTACCTTGGAAATATTCACATTCCATGCCAGGCCACTTGCAACATCTAGCATAGGCACGTGTTCCTTAATACCGCAATATAGAAACAAATCATGTTTTCTCCTGATATGTCACCAATTACATTAATGAAAGCAGCGACACAAATTAAATATACGAATTCAGGTGACATCACTTTAAAACTCTACTAATTCAATTATTCAAAACAAATCAACATACGATACTTAATTGCATATGCAATTGAAACATAAAACGGGATTGTTAAAGTGGAGGTGATATAAGTATGTATAAACAGAGACTGTGTACTTGCATGCGCGCCAACTATGAAATTAAACATATAAAAAAAAACATCTAAAAAGAATTGACTTATCAATTTATTGCGCTAGAATAACTGTGGGGTATACACAAGTTTATGGTACAGAACATAACAATTTCAACATAAATCCGTGTCAATTGATAAAAGCACTACAACGATCTTATTATTACTTTTAGTAAAAAAAATACCTGTTTCGTCTAAAAGCGTAGTGTAGGAGCAAAAAATAATAACAACATACAATGACGTACGAAGTAACATACCTGTACCATTTCTACCATTCATTGCAACACAGGATCTTTTACCATCGCCGATTGGTTTCATGTGGTCACCAGATCGCTCACTGCTCATCTGTGAGTAACTGCTGCAACCTGTCATGAGTTCACCTTCCTCGCATTCAATTTCAGATACTGAATTAATATCTGTATCAGATACTTGTCCTACCCTTGTATGACAATCTATGCTACACACTGTATATAATAGAATATACAATAAATGAATTATGTCATGCATAATATATATTTTTGTACGTTTCATTATTTTATTGCAGACAGTATGTAAGAGCCAGACAAAGAAGCAGTGAAAACAAAATGCCTACCATTCTGCTTGTTATAAATTTCGCACGGAATGCACAAACATGTGAACAAATAATCTGCGGCAAACAATCACAAAAGTACCGTACTCCGAGATAGTTGTTTTTGTAAAGCACATCACTGCGATACAGATTTTCCGATTTCGACATTGTGAAATTCTTTAGTTTTTATGCCAAAAAATACAACATTTTTACCACGTAAAATCACGGTTATTGAGGTTACTGTTCATACATTGGTTGATTTAACACACTACAAATTTTGTAATTACACTTAGCGTCTTTCAATCATAATTTAAATCAAATAAAGGAATAAATATAGAGAATATATCAAATTATCTTTTTTCTGTAATATTTGTGTGAAATCGGTTATTATGAAAAATATTTATGGGTGCATACAAAAATCATTTTTTATGATTTATTCCTAATATACATTTCTGAATTACCTTGTCAAAATCTATTTTTTTAGGGTTTTTTTCTCCCAAAAACGAAATAATTTTACAATGTCGAAAGACTTTATCGTAGCGTTGGCATGATTAAAATGACATAAAGGACAAATCTCACAATTACCATTTTTTTTCTTCGACAATTCGCATCATTCAGCATATTACAGAAAACACGATTATAGAAAAATTAAATGTTGAATGTTCTTTACTTGAAACCAGAAACGACACTATTGAACATAAACACGTATAATTAAATGATCATTGCTGCAACTCATAATTGTCTACATTATATTAATCACTTATTTTATAAGATATATACTAATTTGAAGAATTTGCAACCTGAGACTAGAAACAATATTAACATAGTCGGTGTCTACAGCTGCAACCAAGGCTGGAAATAAATGGTGCGGCCGAGCAACTAATTATTCAATTTTGCTATTGCATCCCACAGCAAAACATATAATCTAATTAAAATTAAGCAAGTATGTCATTTTTGCGCTTGTTTTTTTTTTAGAATTAAATCGTGACATCATTCAAAAATGTTTGCTGCAGATTAATATAACGATCCTGTGAGCGGAGTGACAAATTCAGCGCGCACGGGAACAGTATTATATATTTAACTTTTGATCTTACCATGATAACTATAACAAGTTATCAGACAGATAACATCAATTCAGAAAATGTCTTACCTTGTGCGGTAGAAAACTATTTGAATAAAAAAAGAAAGATAAACACAGTGAATACGATATAATTTTAGATTTCAGTTTTATCACTTACATACTATAATGCATCAAATGTTACCAAAGTAGATTAGTGAAAGCGATAGTATTTGTTTATGTTAATGCTAATACTCACGATACTGAGATCCGCGACAAATACCACACACAAAACAAAGTAGAGAGTATTCATGTTTCCCATGTGAAGGAGCGATTGAATAGACGCGTTGCACAAATTAAATACTCTGCTTTTTACGTTTATGTATTAATATGTCCAATTATATACACAAGCGACACAATATATCAGCCATTAACAATTGAGTGCATCAATCCTGATTGATTGACTATTTTAAATTGAATTACCATATTCTCACCTATTGTTGTTCTGTGTGATGAAACCGTGAAATTACCGTTCAATATGTAACACAAATAATCTGATCGTCCCTTGTAGAGCGGTTTGAATGTTTAAGTCATCTTTTGATGAAATGACAATATACTATTTGTTTTTGTTATAAAGACGTATTCATCAATACTCAGCAAACGTGTCATGTGTTGTTGAAACCATACATTTATTGATGATTTAAAAAAGATAAATGTAGTCTATAATACAGTTTGTAATATTTTAAGTCGAATTTAATATTTTCATTCATAATATTCAATGCATACACGTTAATATTCCCCAATGATAGGGAATAACAGCTTCAAAACTATTCCAATCTCTGCAAAATAAAGTAAAACTGTTTAACATGCCATACTCTTGGGGAATTTTGCACATGTATATTTAGTTAGTGATACACTGTCTTATATATAGAGTAGTGTTTGACATACGGGATACGGTTTCAAAGTCTCAAATAAATATAAGTTGTCAAGTTTTTTTGTACTAATAAATAACAGTGAATAAATAAAATCTTCATTCGCATTTGGTTATGCAAAATTATTGTGAATTTAAATTTATTGATGAAAGTCTTTTATTCTTGATCGTAAAACATGACTATATGTACATAACTAATTGTAATGAGGAAAAATCATATGTTATTTCAAATGAAATTAATAAAGACTAAACTTGAGTTGAGCTCGGAGCCAAAAAATATGCTTTCAATGTTTTATATATATTTAGACTTAGACAGTGTTAGCTTAATACTATTAACATTTTGGAGCTCTATCACAAGCCGCACTAATTAAAAAGTGTTTTACATATATCGAATCCTTAGTGTAGTATAAATATATCGATTACTGTTTTTTTTTTTTATTATTATTAATGGTAAATTGCGGTTGAAACGATTGTATATTTGTATTTCCCACAGTAATTTCCCGAAATCGTCAATCAACACAAGATCCAATCTATGACGGTTCGAGAAAGTGTTCTACGTTCTTCGTGTGAGGTGTTCGTGTGCAATGTTTTTTTGCGTTGACATTCACAAATAGTATCGATATACGGCAACACGAGGAAGCTGACAATTAAATACATTTGTACACTGAATATCATTGCCGGGATTATTTTTTCATTCCCTAAACTCAAATATTCAGAAAAGTTTAAATGAGTTTGTAATGCAATGAGTGTATATCGATATGGCACATAGTAGTACATTAATGTTTTACATAACGCCGAACGAGAAACAATTATGATCTACTCAATACAACAACAATACTATCCTAAAAAGCTTTTTGAAAATATCCGAGGTCAACACTGAAATTAATTACCTAGATAGGTTACGTTTAAAAAAAATGGGCAATTTATAAATGAGATGTATAGGTCCTCACGCAATGGAATGTAACGTGTTAATGGGGCAGATGGTATTTACTAAATAGGCTATTAGTGTAATAGTTTAATTTCACTTTATTTGTTATATGATTGAAACTTTAATGGTTCAACTAACACATTGTGAAACATTACTGTTTGTAATCTGGACACTAATTCACACAATAATTTTATGAAGGAGTAAGTGTTTTGATAGGTTCCATCTCACCGATATGAAACGCCTTTTCTGATGGTAATTTGCAAACATAAACAACATACAAGATATAGACCAACTGTACCGAGAGAAAGCAGTCATATTTCTGCGTATTCCAGTATTTGACGTGGACATATGAATTTAGTAATGCAAAGCGAAGTGTATTTGAGCTGGTATATATCTGTAAGTTAATGTTGCTTCATCGGTATTGCACTGGAAATTCACAATATCTCTGGCTGTACTATTTGATGGTGACTCGTTACCGCCGCCGATAAAACTAACATCGTCGCTATGCTAACTATAATTAATATCTAAATGTTCTTCTGTTGTATCATGGAGCTAGAAAGGGAAGGAGGGGTAACACTATTGTTTCTGCCTGTTCTATTATAGTTATAGTTTCTTTGCTCATTAGATATTGACCACTTCATTATAACAAGATTAACAGGGTTTAATCTTTTGTTGGTTGACTTCATGAATATCAGTATACTGTAAAATTACTAATTTTCACTGGGTTTTAATTTAGCCAATATAGCCAGTGAATAATTATATCAACAACATCAAATTGCTATATGAAATAGGAATTTTTATTTTCATGTTAAAAACAAAGTAAAGTAGCTATCGTAAAATATATAAATACTGCGAAATGAAATAATCAATTGTGAAATACACTCCATGTAAAAACGAAATCTTTTAGCCAAGTTTGATATTGTCTAGACAAACAATAAAAACGTAAAAAATGGTAAGGCTATTGTGATTTCAAACATAATTTTCACGATTGCACATCGGCGCACAATAAAAATAAATATCTCACTATAACTGTCTGTTTTCAAGCAACCCATTACAAACATTTAAAATCTTTTAGAGAATTCGTAGGGAGAAAAATATTTAGCGTTTGAGTATTGAGTTCTTTTCCGCATACACGACAAGTACACGGCCATGACTGCGCTGAGAATGTATCCAGGACTGTGTTGTTTCCGGTGTCAAAGGTCACTGAATGAAATCTGACGTCACTTGGAAGAAAACACGTACATGTATTGTTTGTTATTTCTTCAGCATATTCGTTTTTATGGACATAAAATATTTTCCCGTTCAGCAATATCTGGAAACGCAACAATTAGCATAAGTAAATATGCGGTCTCAATCATGGTGTAAAAGGCTTATTTTAATAGGATTAATTCTGCCTAAAACAAAGCTATGTCATCAGATTAAAACAGACTTAACAAGTGTCCTCTCTTTTTTTCCTTTCTGCCTCCATGGTATCATTCTTTTATGCGTCATGCCAACTATGTATTGTATTGTAGATAAAGCATACAATAATGGGGACACATGTAACTGGGGGACGTGTCATTAATAGACGAGGTGATGTCAGGTTAATATTCCACTGTGATCTGAAATCGTAGGTCATATTATGTGGACATACATTTGGAGTAATATGTTGCACGTTGTATTTCACCAGTCACTAGATTAGGCAATAGTCTGCTAAGCCATTGTTTACTGCTCGAATGGTTTGAATACTCTAATCGTTGTTGCAAATATTTAATCAAAAGTTTCATAATATGTTAAAGAATATGATACGAATCGGGTTAAATACTAGTCGGGATTGAGGGATCGTGTACACATGAGACATATGTTAAACATAAAAATCGATTCTAATCATACGTTGGTAGATTTCAAATGAGAACAAGCGTTTCATTGTGTACCTTATTTTTCTTGACTGATGGGGGGGGGGCAAGGGTTAAAGAGCATTACGAGGGTAATATGCGCATGCTCTCTTCACACGGCACAGCAATGGCGGAGAATTTGAGTCGGAGAGCTCTTCGGACCATTCAATGTTCCATTTGTTAACACCGTAAACTGTAAAAATGTCTTTTTTTCTTCGTAAATTGTGAAAAGCACCTTTTATTTCCCGTAAAACCGTACCAGCTACCCCTTTGCATCCCCTATTGACTTGTGTGTTGACGAGAGAACCGAATATGTCACATCACAATACATCAAAAGTTGCTCAGCTAGTACGACAAATATATCATGCTTGATAATTATGTTGTTTATTTCCCCGGTGTGTGTGTACAAGTGAAGTACAGACACGTGTTAAACCTGTAAATATGACCGTCATGTGTAAATTTGTATTTTCCATATGTTGCGTCTCTCACTGAAAGTAACACACTCAATAAACGTGGATTAGCGTGCACGATTGAGCACATGATGGCTTTGAACATATATCATAATCGTATTGAGTATTTTCATTGAATTTGTGAGAGTGAACGACTGATTAAGACGATATTCTGCTAATATATTGTGCTCCGTTTCTGCGAGGTACATTATCTGGATTAACAAATATTTGCAGAATTAAACTTATAAATGGGGCTATTATCTCCAAGCAAATTTTGGTGGAGGTGGATTGATTTGTATAAATGATGCGAATGAACGGTGCACTGCTCACACATATTAATATATATCATGGGTTCTAGGGTCCATAACAAAATAGTATTTTGGTCATTGTGTCCAACATTAGCAAAAGTTCATATTTCGCCATTGCACTACGCATTTCGTTAACAAATAATTTAAACTCACAAAATGTGTGTACCAACAAACATTGTTTTCTCATTGTATTACCATACGTTTGAAAAAAATTATTTAAATTTACTATTATATTAAACTCCATTTAAAATAATGGTACAATTAAAATCGTTTGTGTTTTGAATGATATGTCATATTTTATATAAGTGAATCATATTATATGTTATAATTATTATTCATAACTAATCAGCTTTCAATTATCCATATAAACGAAATTTTGCAATCAAAATTCTCATAAACAAGTAACGAGAGATAAATATTACTAATTAAGTTTCGTTACGGAAAACAACAAATAAGTTCAAAACGAATA